ACCAGTTAAGACTGGAATGAAGGACCTTGAGGTGAAAGGGTGCAGCAAGAGGAAAATATGCATAATTAAGAATGAACACTCAGTATTCATTGTTAGCTCAACTGAAGGGCCAACAACATGTATTTTGGTTGGTTGTTCACAACTATGCAATTATGCTAATATATGGTAATGTCATTGCCCTTGAAAAAATTGCTTTCCTCTGTTAATTTAGGAAGGAGATCAATTATGAAATCATGTGGTTTGGTCTTGCTGGTGGTGATGTTACTCTCCTCATGAGAAACAGAAAAAGGATTAATTTCTTTCCACTTCCACCATTCCAAAGACTGCTCCTTCAGAGCAACCCCTTTCCCTTTAAGCTATATTAATGTAGAAAATATAATATTTTTCCCCAGAAGAATATTTATCAGGAAATAACTGCAGAGATGATTTACCACTGAGAATGTAAACAGAGTTGGAGACAGTCAGCTATATCCTATCCTTTGCTACATTAATCCAATCCCATTTAGCTAAGGGCAGCCTGATGTTCATTAGCCTTCAAGAAGGTAGGTCTTGCTTGCCAAATATATGCTTTTGCAGTAGTTAATATGCTTCTAAATATTTCTTCATCATTTTATACTGCACAGTGTATTTTTTAAAAGAATAATTTTTTTATAACTTCATCATTGGTTTGAAACATCTCACTGCAACTTGGGTGATGAATAAAAGGAGCAACAGGGTAGTAATACAGTTATGGCAAATGTCTTTGGCTACTTAGAATCAAATTTTTTTCTCTATTACAGATCAGTAAAGTCAGTGGGTTGTATAAATTAGAGCTCAGAAAAGGCCATCATGATAGGTAATGAAGTGAGTCTGACATTTTGCATTCTTGTTTTAAATAGGGATTTTATAACCTGCTCCTGCACAACCTACAGCCTACCTTTTTTCTCTATAATTGCCCAAGAGTGCTTAACTGGCAGTCTCAAATTTGAATTCTGTTTCTGAGCAGAGACTGTTTTGCACATGATTTTGTGCAGCACACACAACTCAGTTGCCAGGTGTGAGACTTTCCAACTACTCCAGAGTAGAGCCTGGTATCAAACCTGCAGCCAGAGCTTCACTGTGCTTGATGCTGTACAGAGAGGAAAGACTATAAACTTACAACCTAAGCAAGTGCCAAGGGGACCAAAGTTTAATGTGAGAAATAACAAGTAAGGAGTAAGGAAGGTATTCAAGTCACATCAGTCAGCCCAGTTCCCTTCCACCAGGTTGCATTATCTACCTAAAAATATCATGCGGAAGATTGTTGCTAGGACTTTTCTGATGTCAAAAGGAAAAATATTCATGAAACTGTACTACTCAAAGCCTAATCCATCCTCAAGGTGCTGTCCTTGTTACAAAACACTTGTAAGAGCTAGAAATGCTTAGCTCCTTCATTTACATAGCCCTGGGAAATAATATACACCATTGTTTGGCCTAATAATTACATTGAAATACTCTAAGTACCGGAGTTATAAGTGTTCCCATTTCATGCAGCAAATTCTACTTTCTTCTTTAATTTAAGAGAGGTAAAAACATGGCTGTGACAGGGCAGAGAATACTGATGATCACTGCATCAGAAAACCATTTTCCCCAACTGGAGCTCTTCAGTGATGAGTTATCAAAATATTTCTATCTGATTCCCATTATTGTCTGGGTATTCATTTTACTTCTTGGGCCCACTCCAAAATAACCATTACTATTTATCTGTTTCTAATTCTTTCTATAGGAGCTGTTCTTCTCTAAATTTTATAGCACTTTACAACTAAATTAGCAAGGAAATATACAAGTATATAAACAACAGCCTGTCTACATCCTTTCATCCAAATTACATCAAGAGGCTAGTCTGTGGAAAAAGCTAATGATCCAATCAGCATAAGAACATATTACAAATTGGAATTCTAATAGAAAATCTCTAGATGCAGATTTATTATATAATTATACATTTGGAGAAATGGAATATTTTTATATGATTGTTTTCCCTGTTGCTGTAGCCTCTTGCAATGATCCCTTTAGTATTTAAGTTCCTAGCTGTGTTCAACAGAAAAAGCTTTGAATGAATGTTGATCAACAGAGTGGCCTTCAATGAGAAAAGCAGGAAGTTAGGAATGAGGAAAAAGAGGATGCTACAAATAGGTACAAAGGGACTGCAAGCCCATGGGACCCCTCTGGGATCTCTTTGCATTATTTGTTAACATGATGTTGGCAAGTTGTTTTCGTTCAGTTCATCAGCTAATGCAATCTGTACATGATAAATGCCCCCAGCAGTTCAGCAGACAAGCAAACTGAAGTGACAATAAGCAATTAATCAAAAATCCCTTGCTGAAATGACAACAAACAATGAATTAACAGCACCCTGCTAGAGTTTCCTTGAATCTGTGACTCCTGGATCATTTGACTCCTGCCCTACAAATGAAGCACCAGGCTGCTTCCATTGCTGATAAAATGAGAATTAGGAAACAGACAATACAGAGTGGCTGTACTTGCTCAGTCATATACTTACTTGTTTGTGCCATGTTAGGCACTGTTCAGTCCCAGGAGCCCTAAAAGAAAATATAGTTAGCTGTGCAAAAAGAACCAAACCCACGAGTACTTGTCCCAACATCTGTTACAAGCTACCTCTGATGGAAAGGGCTGTCAGGGATGCTTGGAAGCACATTTTAAGCTTGGGGTTTCAAACGTATCTCAACAGAAACATAAAACTTAAATGAGTTGTACTCTCTGCTTATTCTGCCATCTTCCTCCTCTCAGTGCTTGATTATGAGAGGCAAGACCTCACCATCTTTATTTTAAAGTCAGTCAAAACAAGGTAACTCCTGGGCAGTCATCCGCAGCTCTGCACATTTGCATGTGGGTCCAACAGTCAGCCAGCAGCACTAACACACACTCCCTCTGCCCCCTGCATCGGGCTAGGAGCAGAAACATATTTTTTTTTTTGTCTTTGGAGGTACCATATCTTCCACACACCTTTGCTGTGCTGTTTTTTGAGATTTCCCACCAAAACTGACGCAGCATAGCAGACAAAACTTGGGCCGTACCATTAAAGTGGCTGGTCCCACTTCTACACAGAAACATACGTCATGACCCTTTTTGCTACTCATGAAATTTGGAGTTAAAGACATATGACAAAATGGACTGCTGGAATTATTATTATGTCTTTATTTAATAGAGAACTTTTATCATCCATTTTCTAAACAGGCAGTGTTATTTCAAAAAAAACCCAGAAACAAAGTCATGATCAAAACCACACAAGTAGAATAACTTCAACACAGCTTATAGGTTGCCCAGGGAGGTGGTGGAGTCACCAGCCCTGGTAAGTGTTTAAGAGGCATCTGGATCTGGCACTGGAGGATATGGTTTAGGAGCTACGGCAGAGTGACATGTTAATGGTTGGACTGGATGGTCTTAGAGGCCTCCTCCAACCTTAATGAGTCTATGATTCTATGAAACATTTTTCCTTTTGAAGAAGATTGAAGTACAGGATAAATGAAATGCATTCTATTATTTTGGATATTCTCCATAAACAGTTCATATCTAATAGTTTCTCCATTAAGTATTCAGAAAGTCAATATATATCAACTAAACTACTCTGGCACTGACTGTGTCTTTAGAAGAACTATTTGGCTGGAGAAAATGAGACTTCACTGAAGAATAAACCTATAGAAATTAGGTTTCTTAATGTTTATGCATCCTTAATCCTCTCTTCCTTAGGAAACACTTCTCTCCCTACTCTCTTTAAGTCAATCTACAGCAAATTAGTTTTACCTGAGCAGGGCTGGAAGCTGCTGGTGTTTAATTAGGGGACCAAGCAGCACTGGAAAACATTAAGGATGATCTACAAAGCCAACATCAGCCTACTGAAGCTAAGCTCCTGAGAAACCCTCCTCAGAGCTGCTCTTTGCTCTTATAGATGAATGTGTTCACCTCGTTCATGCCAGAGACAGCCCAGCATTCACTTCAGTCAGCTTAACCTAACCTCTGTGAACATCCACACACTGCTTGCACAAGGAGAGGCTTTTGCTATAATGAAGATATTAATCTAGACCAACAGCCCAGAGGCTGCGGTGTCAATCATGCACAGAGGCTTATCACGCAATTCCTATAGGTCCTGTCTTACTGTGGTGGTTTCTGCTTAGATTGACTTGGCACCCAGGAAGCTCACTGCACAGCACTGCATGGACCGGGAGAGCAAAATGTAGCTTTGACTCAGAGAACTCACAGCCTCGGATAACGCAATAAATAGTCATCCTTCCCACAACAGAGTAAGACAGCAGCAAGTGGAGATGTTTCCTCTCTTCATGTAACATGCCAGAAGAACCCCAGTGTCATAAAAGAATACAGCTGGAGTTCTTAGTATTTAACATTACCTAAATAGACAAAGAGAGAAAATTTTAGTTCAGTGAATTAGACATCAGCTTTTTGTTTAAGAAACTGAGATGAAAAAACAGTTTTCTAGGTGTCTTTCTCATTAATACCTCTTGTCTGCAAAATTACTACAAAACACTGCAACAATGTATACTCCACCAAAAATAACTGAGCAGCTTCGATCACTATTTGATGCATCCTAACTGAACCTTAATCCAGTCAACGTTTGTACCATTTTTTCCTGAGAATGCCTTCTCTTTCTTGTCACTGAAATGTTGCCAACTCTATTTCACCTCACATCTTGTTTAGTGTCTACCCTAAAACCTCAGTTTCTATAGGTAAGTAGTTAAAAGGAAATCCTAGCTTTGTTTTACAGATTTTCTAGGTGTCATATTTGCACCAAAAGACTTGAATACATGACTCATATGTGCTTAAAGAAAGCAAATATAAAATCCTCAAAGGCACATGATTGATGTGCCTCAAAAGCACAAAATTCTCATGACTTCTGTGACAAGCTTGCAATCTGAAGCAGTGAGGTGGGTGTCTGAGTCACAATTTCTAAGTCCTTGGGGCTCAAATGTAAGGATTCCTCTTCACCTCCCTTTTGCTCTTCTGCATTTCTACTCTTGTATTTGGTATGAGGGGCGAAGATGCCCAAATTTCTGGTAGAAATCGTCTTCAGCACGATTCAGGGCTTCTTCATCTATGTAGACAGCTGGTCTCCGGGAAGCCAAAAAGTACTGCACTTTGCGCAGGCTCCATCCCATCACATACTTCAGCCATCCACTGACAGCAGCTGTAGACCTGCCAACGCCAGCATTGCAGTGAACATAGACAGTGTGTCCATTCTCCAGCAGCCCGTGCAAGAGGCAGACAGCTTGTGGCAACATCTGTATTCTTCCTAAGGTTAAAAACAAGGCATGTTCAATTGCATTGGAGAAATCTAGGTTCATGGCTGAGATTATGTCTGTACGGCCTGATGAACTCTGAATCATAATGGCAAACCTGACATACTTGGGGTTTTTTTGTTTTTTTTCTCAAATGACCTTCTACACTGTCTGTTGTATCTTGCAACACAGATTCACATCACACAAAACTGTAAAATGCCCCAAGTCTTCTCTAGATATATATTCTGATGTGTGTGGCATATTCATTTCCACAGGAACTGAGGCAAGGCAGCAAATTACATCGAACAGCACATTTTACATAGCATTAAAGTTAGCAAGCCAAAAATGAAATGTTTTTTGGTAACAGAGGTCTGTGAAGGTACCTACATACTGCTGTTTTCCAAAACATTGTAATGAAGGCCATCACCCCTTATTAATGGAGGGAGAGCAGAAGAAAATTTTGCTGTACAACTTAATACTGTTATGATTTGAGTACTAAAGCATACGGTTAAATAATACAGCATAGTCCTTCTCACTCCCAGAGGGATGAATATCCCATGTTTCCTGACACCTTTCTTTCTCCCTGCTATTCTGGGAACTGAAGCTGCTAACAGCAGAGTCCAACTTTTCCTTATGGCAGATATGAGTGCTGACATTAAGTCCTTTCAAGTCCCTGTTTTAAGGTCTCCCATCTTCTTTGATGTCCTTTTACTGATATGACAGCTCTCTATTTGAGGCATCAGTATTTCACTGTGTTGGAAGCACTCTCTTCTGCTAGTAGGCTGTTCCCTTGAAAATACTCTTAATTTCTAACTTGCTGGTTGGAAACAAGCTTTTGAACTGAGATGTCTAACCAAGGACTTCAAAATACCAGCAATTTGTGTTACAACTCAGGTGCTGTAAGCATTCTAAATTAATTACAAATTATTATATAAATGTCTGTGTGGAGATTCATCAGACTGGGATACTACAGTTAAAGAAAAAAATATGTGCTGGAGAAGGGAACAGCAGAGACAGGCACACAGCACTGTCTCTCATTTTTAACCAGCAATTGTGGCAAGCTGTCCTTGCAAGTTTAGTCTTCCACCTACACAGCACATTTTCATTATATGGGCTGAATTCAAGCTGAAAGCAAAAACAGTTAAGCAGTTATCGATGTCGGATGGCTTTAAACTCAAACGCACATAATACTGCCAGACACAAAGTACTTTAGATGGCCTCTCTGCCTACAAGAAAATATGAATAATTTGTCAGAGACAGCACACGAAGAAATTATACCTTGTGTGCTAGCTATATTTTTATGCAAAATTTACACAGAAAAAAAGACCCCAAACTGTCACCAAATTGACAGATTAGTAACTCAGAGAGTTTGTTGCTATTAATTTACTGCAAGAGTGACATGAGCATTACCTTCAGTGCTCATGTCCGCAGTTGGCAGCCAGATATAGGCAAGACCTTCCTCTTTATACAGTTTCATGAGGATTTCAGGGCTCATGGGTTCTGGGTAACGGTTGCAGCCCCAGGAATTCTGAACAATGTCGTTTTCAGTCTGGAAGTTCATCACAGCTGTAACACCCAGCTCATGCTTCAGCTTGATGGTCACATGCTCCAGCTGTCGAGGGCAACTTCCCAGCCAGATGTTTGGCAGAATCCTAGCATTGATAAAACATTGCAGTGGGATTGATTAAAATACCTTACCAAAGAAACTGCCTAGTTCAGCAGTGTTCCTATTCCAAGCCTGCTTAATATCATCACATGAACACTGCTAAGCACAGCCTTTTCATGTCATGCAGTAAGCCACTTCTCATTTCATTACAACTTTTCATTTCATTAGAGTTGAGCTGGTAATGTTTGATGCTGGGGATCAAGTTCCTAACCTACCACAAAGAGCCCGATGATCTGAGAAAAAAAATTCAAAGCATAGTCAGTAGCACAGATCTCCAAGGCATCTATCATTAATCTTGCCACAGAAACTTGCTAACATCACAGATCAGAATAAGAAAACTCTGAAGACTGTGCAATTTGCACACACACACACAAAGAGACCTAAAGGATTCACATGATCCAGATCTGAAACACTTTAGTAATAACTCAAACACAGAACTCTTCTAACTTGGAAGCTACCACTATAATGAGGAAAGTAGAAAAAAAGGCAATTTGAACTCCTCTTCTGTAATGACACTCAAAAAATAATGAGTAATTTTCTTCTAATTTTTCTCTGATCTTGTGGAGTCTAGTGGGAAACAAATGCAGAATTACAACACATGTCTAGCTTCCCTCAAGGCCTGAAGAATCAGAAATTTTTCACGAAAACTCAAGAGGTTTGTAGGACAGATAAACAACCATAGTTCTTGTACTTAATCTAAATCAAAGGTCGAGACTCCTATGGTTTTCCCTTTGCTAATTATCATTAATCTATAGTATGTCTCAACAGATTTTGACATCATAAACTGAGTATTAAGAAGCTTGTTTTCAAGCGAGAGTTTTTAATCTGCAAATGCAATTCAATTGATAGTATCTGCAATGGATTATTTACATGTTCACATTATTAGTGATCTACTTTAATTTTTTTTGCTTTCATAAACTTCAAGTTTGAACATGCAATCCACAACCTACACAAAATATCCCTGCATTTGAACATACAACTTCACAAACTTTATTAAATGCAACAAAATCTGCAACACTATTAGCTGAACTTTGCAAGCATCTACAACAAAAGCAAAATCCTCAAAAGTAAAATGTCTGCTGTGCATTTCTCATGGTCTTTTCCAATTTTACTTTCAGAAACAAATAAGGAAAGTTTTATGTCTATACAGGAGCCTATAAACCACTCTTAAATCATCACTTAGATATTTCAATTTTACTATCATAGTAATAGGTGCTTACTAGCATTTAATTAAGACCTATAATTGACTGTAATGATTAAATCTGAAACATGGTCAGAAACTCAGATCCAGGAAGCACTAATTCCTATTGTTTCCTGCATGTCAGATATATCCACGGTGACTTGCATACCAGCCACACAAATGCAAGTTTTGGCCTTAAAAGCTCCTGTTTCAGTGAGACAACACACTTGATCCCAGTATATGGTAACTGAGACCTATTGAAACAAATACATTACATAGCAAATAACCATTTCAACTGTGTTTCAACAGTGAGATTGAAGAGATATGATGCCATGGTTTAGGAGTGGTATTCCCCAATTTAGTGTTCCCCCAGACCACATGCTGCTTGCTCACTCCCCACACTGAAATTTCAAAAACTAATATTTACACTCAAGTAATTTTCTTTGTCACTTTTATCTCACTCCCTAACACTGTCTTTATAAAGGAGAGAAGACTTGGAAAGAAAAAAAGTCTTAATACACAGACCATGGACTTCTTAAGCTACAAATTAAATTCAGATCATATATTAAGAAATATCAATACTCAGTCAACAGTGGACTATGCAGCAGCCTGAAAGAAATGCAATAAAGCACAAAAATTTGGTATTCTCATTATGTTCAAGGCACAATCCCACATAATAGTACAACAGGGAGCTTCTCAAAATTGCCCAAAATCCAGCATAACCAGCTCGAGCATTCCCACTGATCAGAGGGGTGAGCGAAGGTCCACTGCAAAAACTGCTTCACTGCCCCACTTCCCACATGCCAGTCCCACAGCAAACCCCATCCTAACCTGAATGAGTGACCACTGTCAGGATTCTGCCACAGGAATCCATCACAATGATTAGAGCATTTCAAGGTAGCAAATGTAAGGTAAAGTGCTCTAAAGGATGCTGACAAGTGTCTGGAAATGAACAATGCCCACAAAACTCCACGGCCGGGAAAGAAAAATGGCAATATCACTAATATCTTTTGACAATATGAGGACATTATTTCAAGAACAAGAACATTAGTATCCTTCCTTCAAAGGCTTTCCTGAAGACTCATACATATGTAATTCACTTGATATTTTGAGAAACATCTAATATACTAAATTATCTTGATGGGAGAGCAAAAGTGCATTTTCTAGGATATGATTGAATCAGGAGTGACTAAAGCATTCCTGAGATAAATAAAATTCTGAGTAGTACACTCACAGATAAATCAATGCTTTGTAATTTTTTTCAGTGATCATTTAGTGGATGAACAATATAGTTGTGTCATCTGCAAGACCCCTGGGATATATACCACTTGTTTATTTTGTTCTAGCCTAACAGGTCTTGCTCATGACAAGACCTCCTGTATTGCCCAACAATAATTGCATTCACCAAACAATCTACCAAGTTTTTACCACAGTCTTTCCTTGTAATTAACCAAACTAGTGTTGGCACTCAAAGAATGACCAAAAAGTTGTATTTAGGACAGCCAATTCTTGTAAATTATTTTTATGATCAGGTCCTAGAGTTTAGTTTTTGAGAGGATCAAGATGTAGCCTTGACCTTGGTCTTCAAGCTCCTTATTTACCCACCCAAAAACAACTGTAAAATCTTAGTCTTGCTGGACAAGACTTAACCACTCTTTTACCAGGAAAACAGACCACAAAGAAAGCAGTACTGCAGAGCTGTCTTATCAGCCAATTTATGTAAAACTTCTAGGATAATTCTACTGCATAGTACCTCTGTTTCCATTTGGCTTTATCTGGTTCATACCTTACCTTTGTCTGACATCAGAAGGAAGGGATAAAAGGGGCAAGTCCACACAAATGCACAGAGACTGATGGAGAGTTTAGCAGCTATATTTTATATATTGATTTTTTGATAGCCCTACTGAGGGCTTCATTGTGCTGAGGACCAGGAAAACATACATATTCAACAAAGCATGGTATACCTTTTAGTTTCCCTTTTCAATGTGGCCTTTCTTCTTTAAGTTGCCACTATACTTCAGTGAGCAGCTAGACTTTATCCACAAGAGTATTTGGCATGGGAAAGAGACCTCTTCTACCTTCCCATCTCAACTCTCATATAACAGTGCTCTGAGCTCCCTGACAGCTCCTGCTTTCCATGGCATGTGTGGTTGTTTTCCAGCAACTGATTAAGTGATCCCTATGTACAGTTCAGAAAACTTAGCAATTATGTGTGATCAATAAACCTTTAGTCTTTTCAGCCATTAACCCCTTTCATGTTCTTCAAATACCACAACAGCATGGTGCTATTCTATTTAGAATTCTGTTTTAATATAAAAATGGCACTTCATCATTGTATATGTTAACCCTCCAAGGATAGTAAACCATGCTGGGTGCCAGAAGACATGGTCAATTCAGTCAGAGACAGTTTATCAATGAAGAAATCACCTAGAGTAACATAAAAATATTCAGCAATCTTCTGAGATTAAGACTTGGAGATAAACCCTTTCTTTAAAGGTACTTTCTGTCAAGTTACTTTCAGCCTGCCCTATACTTCAGTACTCCACTAGTAATATAGGGAAAATGTTTATCTACCTTAAGGGGACTTTTGGAGATTAAATGGATAAATCAATGTGAGAAGCCTGAAATTGTGGTAACAAGGACTGAATGTTAGGCAGGTGTCTGCTCAGTTTAATTTGACTTAGAGAGCCCAGATTGAAGGCTCACATGTTAAAAACCTGCCTTTTGACTTGCAAACTGAGAAAACCAACAATGATTTATCAGGGAATAAATATGGAACACCCTGAAATCACTTGTACACTTATTTTCCAGCACACTTATTTTTAATGATCTGGACATATATTGCATTTGTTGGCTTCCCCCTAGGACCCTGCACAGCCTAGATTAAATTATAACAAACCAATATGAATGCATCTGAAACAACTAATGCATTCCACTCAATCAATGCATATGCAAATAGTCTTCCCATCCTTAAGGAGAAAATTACTCTGAGGCAATGAAAGATTAGCATTCTGATACTTTTTATGTTACAGACTGTAATTTTCAGGCTGGAGGAAATGTTCCCAAAACATGACACACTGTACCTTTCAATCTTAGACCTCCACAGATTGTATAATACCAGACCAGTTGTAGGGATCTGATTCACAGGGAAGGCGGTCTGTCTTAGGGGAAGACACCAGGTTACTACATCAGGCAGTCAGCTCCTCCTCCACAACACAGATGTCTATGCTGTTTCTTCAGCAGTTCCTGTCTTACTTTTGTTGATAATGGTTTAAGGTAAACAGACACAAAATTCAAATTTCCTTCAAATGCTGAGTTGTAAACTGGGATGACTCAGGTGCTGTTTCCATATCTGTTCAATCATCAGCATGCTAAGAGTAGGCATCTAAGAATCTACCCTAAGATCAGTCAGCTTTTCTAAGGAGTCACAGTTCCTACAGAAAAGATAGGAATCAAGCCTTTGGGGAACATGTTTCATCAGAATATCTATCAGGTACAGTATTTCAGATATCCCTGTAGCTGCCAGCTTTAATCAAGAAAGAGGACGTTGCCAAACTAAAGAAAAATACTAGGGTATTTTTCATTTGTTATTGGCAATAGAGTGATCCATCAACCATGCCATTTGTTTATATCAGTAATATTTTTGACCAAGGTCCAGTATATTATTTTAAATGAAAAGTGATGGATTGATTCACCCTTCAGTGCCAGGTCAAGGCGTGGCCTGATGTTAAAGCTTGCAATTCATTTCTTTTGCCTACGTCAATCTTCCCTAGATCCTGCTAAGCATCTGATGTCAGTGATATGAG